CTCTGTGCTATAAATTTCTGAAATTCTATTTTCTCTATGACTACCTATCAAATCCTTTCATAATCTTGAAGATCTCTGTCTACTTGCCAGCAATTTTTTATATAGTATGACATTAATGTGACCAGTATCACTTTAGAGTCACTGATATCACCTAATTATTGTGTATCTGCTGTATAAGAAGAAGCATGGTAGTCAGAAATAGCAACATACTAGTCAATGCTCTGCAAATGTGTGATGCACTTGAAACTCAACACTCACATAGCCACAATGCTATGGTTCAGTGTCATGGAGAACTAGATTATGCATTCACCATTGAAGTAGTGGTGCTCATGGCTGATGTCAAGTTCATGAAGAAGGCATTTACACTTGCCTTTATTGGTCACTGCATTGAGTGTAGGAGTTGGGGTGTCATGATGCGGCTGTACAGGATATTGCTTAGACCACTTTTGGAATACTGCATGCATTTCCCTGCTTTAGGAAAGATGTTGTTAAAATTGAAAGGGCTCAGAAAAGATTTACAAGGATGTTACCAGGGCTGGGGAGTTTGAGCTATAGGCAGAGACTGAGTAGGCAGAAGCTTTTTTCCCTGGAATGTTGGAGGCTGAGGGGTGACCTTATAAGATTTATAAAATCATATGGGGCATGGATAGGGTGGGGTAGGGGATTCTTAAACTAGAGGGCATAGGTTTAAGGTGAGAGGGGAAAGATATAAAAGGGACTTAAGGGGCAGCTTTTTCCTATAAGGGGTGGTGCGTGTATGGAATGAGCTGCTGGAGGAAGAGTTGGAGGCTGGTACAATTACAACATTTAAAAGGCATCTGGATGAGTACTTGAATAGGAAGGGTTTAGAGGGGTATGGGCCAAACGCTGTCAAATGGGACTAGATTAATTTAGGATATCTGTTTGGCATGGATGGTTTGGGCCGAAGGAAGGTTCGGTTTCCATGCTGTACACCTCTATGACTCTAACTCCAGAGAGATTACTTGGTGATTCAGATTGGCTCCTCTGGGCCTTCAGCTTGGGCAGCAATCACCAAATTCTTAGGGCACTCTCCATGGGCAGGGACCTCCTGCAGCACCCCCATCCAAGGATATTGGCATCAGACATATACCTGCCTCTCTGCACCTTTATGTCACAGCTCCCAGCTCTGCACTTGGGAGTGCACCAGCACCATTCATTCAACTGCAGCCACCAGGATATTTTGCCCACTGGGCAATCATAGATTGAGCCACGGAGCATGTTCTCTGCCTTCTTTCTTCGTGCTCCCTGACTTATGCCTACTCTGATATTGTTACGACCACAGAGACACACAGCCAAAAAACATTAGCCGCCCCACGTCTATATTCGCACTGCAATAGAATTAAAACATTCAAAGGTCCTCAAAATTGACTATAGTGGTTCCTAACCAGATTTTTTGAATAACCAATCTGAAACCTTTGTGATTATTTTATTTTAGACACTGGGTTTGTAGTTTAAACAAAATACAGTATATTTAACAATACGGTAACTTTATTAGAGCAAAATTAAACAACAAGGTAATTTGATAATGTCTGTGATTTAAACCCAATAATTTTTGTTTTCAGCTCCATTCATACAGAAAGATAGTCAGACAAACAAATACAGCAAAATAACAAATCTGGCCAGATTACTTAAGCAGTTTTCATGATGCAGTGTTTGACAGGCATATATGAATGTTTCTTGGTTGATTTTCTGAAAACATCAATCTGTGCCACCTTTTCAGCTCACTCTGAGGAAGTTGAGTAATTCTTATAACTTCGTTTGTTCCCTGAACTTCTAACAGCTTATAATGGAAGGTTAGGCAGGAAGTTTTCAAATATTCATGCTGTAGCATTAACAGCCAAACTCCTTCTCTCAGAAACAGTACAAAAAACAATTCAAACTCTGGTACCATATTGTCTGCATGACTTGCTTGCTACAATTCCCAGGTACTGACCTTGTTAATGGCCATATTTCTGCTATCTGGTTAAATATACTGCTTTCTCTGATGTCAAAGAATCTGTAGAATCCTTCATTCAAGAACCAATTTATAATTAACATCCAGCCTGCCCTCACAAACAACAGTTTGAACAATTTCACAAGTGTGAAATGTGAGATGAGAGCTAAAAGGTCACCTTTGGACTGTGAGCAGCTGCCTGTTTATAACAAAAGAAACAAACAAACAAATGTTTCAGCTCGCAGCTCACAGCTCCAACCCAAACTGATAAAACCGAAGTATTGAAAAATCAGCAAGGATTCTAACAATATTTACAGCATATCTGCCTTGTCTTGCCTTGCTTTTTTGTGCTTTCCTCCTTCAGCCAGAGCTCAAAAGCTCACAGTATCTCTCTTTTGACTCGTCCTTTAGCAAAGACAGTGTTAAGGACCATACCAAGCCCCTTCAAAATATTATTACGAAGATGGTCTTGACCCAACTTTTTCTTATTTTAAAGGTATGGCATTGCATTCCAGATGCAGTTCAACTGGTCAAACTACTCGACATTAATCAAAACACACTTAATTTTAACATTGCAGTTGAAATACAGACAAAATAAGAAATAAAAAATTGACTTAACTGTAACTGTATCAATATGCTTAACAAAATAATCGATATATTAACTGTTCCAAAGTAGTAACATCCTTAGCAAAGACAAATTCAGTAAAACATATTGTGTCAAGTACTATTTTAATAGCAGAAAGAATACCCCAGCTTTTAGTTGTAACAGAGAGAGGAATAAGAGCTTCCACATCCCAGCTTCAAGACCCCAGCTACTGCAGAAAACTAAAACTAAAAATCATGTTTCTGTGGGAACTTGACCTCACCCATACAGGCTGCTTCTATTGTTCCAACTTTAAAAAAAAGCCCCAAGGTCTCACAAGCAGACAACTTGGCACCTCTGTCTCAAACTTGCTTCATAAAAAAGGGACAGTAAAGAAAGAAACAGGACAAAATACACCTCTTAAAGCCATAGTAACCTCATAACAGAGCCAGGCAACTTCTCATAGTGTCAGCAGTGATCAGTGAATTGGTTTGACATGTTGCTGTACAACACCTCACTATGTCAATCTCACACCTGCACCATGTGCCAGCACTTCTGCTGCAGGCACACTGAATGTGCTTCAACCAAATGGCCGTGTCTCAAAACCTAAGTCCTCAGTTAAGTAAAGGCAGACAGCCTTCAATCAGAAGGTGTTGGCCACTAAGCCAATCCACTATGAGTCTATTTGTTTTGGAAAGGGTCAGTCTGCCACTTGAAGATTAACAGGGCTAGGGAGTCCATATCATAAGGGTTGTGTGCGCTAGGGTAAGTCTTGCAGGTCTAGTGCACTCTGTGTAGACAGTCATGGTTAATCTTTGGGAATGGTAAGAGAGTGGTGGAGAGGTAAGTCAGTTAGAATAGGAGTCATATCAACTTTAACCGTTAACTGTTTCTTTCTCTACAGATGCTGCTAGATCTGCTGAGTTTCTTTAGCACTTTCTGTTTCGTATTTCTAGCATCCCCAGTGTTTTGCTCTTACTTGACAATTTAATCGAACTTGTACCTGATCAATAACTTCAGTTAAAAATGTATTCTTCCTGTTTAACATGGTCCTAGCAATTTAGGACAATGTCTTGGAGTGTAAGCCCCTGTTTCGAGGGATGTCTTGCTTTCATTCTAAAAGAAGTTCCATTTCTCTGGTTATCTAAGAAAACAAGTTGACTGAGCAGAATGAGTGGCCTCAAACAAATGTTTTTCAGCATTTTAATATGCATTTCTGCATTGACTCAAATTTAATGCCTGAGATTCTAGGGCTTTGGCACATGTCCTCTGAACCCCAAAACCTGCAAATAAAAGTGGATAGTTAGACTGATTATCATGTACACAGAAACAAGTAAATATATTTGAGACACTAGGCAGAAATAATAAAAAGGGTATACTTTTTAAGTTTAATAGTGTGTTTAGATATAGGAACTTGCCTTCGAAATAGTGGAAAAAGTGCACAGCAATTACAGACAAGTACAGAGCTGATTGGCCACTTCGAGGGCAATGTGCCAACTTTAAAGGAGGTACCTGTCTTGGGGTTATGAGTTAATACCCAGCATTTTGAATATTTTTTGGATGCTGGAGCTGCATTTTAGTCGCCTCGCTCTAATTGAGACATTTTACAATGTTAATTAATTTAGTGCACAATTTTGTGAGTATTTTATTATCAGTTCTTTTTTGGTTTAAAGAGCATAAGACATTATTTAAGCACCAGGTTTCACTGCTTCCTAATATGAAGAGGTGATGTTTATGATGTAGTACTGCTGTGGGCAGTTGTGCTATTGATCTCCTAGTTTGCTCACTCAGGAATGTGTACTTCCTGAAGAAAATGTTTCACTGATTATAAAGCCAGAAAAGTTAAAGAAACCTATCTCTTTCACAAGATTTTATCAGTGGAACTTAGTCACTCTTGTTCCTGTACTAATAGAAACTTATCCTTAGTGGGTTGTGTTCAGTTTCTTTAACCAGGAGTTTACTGGTGTAAAATTTAGTGACAACACCAAAGAAATAGAAATAGGTTAGACAGTTCCACTTTGGACATTACCATAAGTACCAGTATATCTGAAGAAATATTGGTCAATTTCAGTAGTTATTGTTAATGCTGAGAAATATGACATTTACTCTTTAAGCTCCCAGTGTTACTGTAAAATATTTCAGGATCTGCATGTAATCAATTGATGTATTAATTTGAATGTTATGCCTCAATTGAAGTGGGTGAACTTGTTCTTGTGTGCGGCTGGAAATGTCATTGGTATGATTGGTGGAGACTTGGTTAGTGCTGAAAGGTCTCTTCTGTACTGGACGATTCTATGGTAACAGCAGCTTTGGAGGAAAGGTGATTTGAAAATCCATTGAGCAATATATTTTTGAAAAGTACATTGGAGAAATATTGCATGAGAGTCTTCTCATAACTTTAGGTAGTATTTTAATGGCATTTGTCTGAATGCAATAAAATTAAAAACTAATGTTTCTTTATAGCACATGTGTTGGAGCACAATGGGACTGCTCTGACATTCAATGTCCTGGTACTTGTTCAATTGAAGGAGGCTCATTTATGACGACATTTGATGAAAGAACATACAGATTCCATGGTGATTGCGAGTATCTACTTGTTGGGGTAAGTTTTGACCTGTTGTGAAGCACCAGTTGGTAATACTGGTTAAATTTTTAGATGCCTTTACTGTCTCAGAGAAGAAAAATACTTCAGTGAAATTACACAAACCAGAATATTTTGGAAATACTCAGTTGACTTGGCAGAAGACAGAATCAAAGTTAATGGACTGAATTTTCCCTTTGGTGCTGGAAGCTATCAGTCAGGAGATTTTCCAAAATTGTGTTCTTGACTTCAAAAATAAGTTTTAGCACTCAACATGTATTCATAATGAGACCAGTTGGCAAGATAAAAGTCTGGTTATGTGTTTAGCCTGCTTTGTTAATTCAATTGTAGTATTAAGTGTCATTCTCACTCTCTGTCTTTCTCCCTCCCTTCCTTTCCCCTTATCTCAAGAACTGATGATCAGCAAAGTAATCAAAGGGGTCATTGACAGTTATGTCAAATGCTAATTTTTCATCAATAATCTGCTCATTGATACTTAGTTTGGCCCATCAGGGTCTCTTAGCTTCTGGCCATTGCCCAAACTTGGAGAGAAGAGCTGAACTCAGAATGGGAGGTGAGAGTGAGTGCCTTTGACATCAGGTAGCATTTGACTGAGTGAGACATCAAGGTGTCCTAGCAAAACTGAAGTCAATGGAAATTGAAGAGAAAATTTCCTCACTGGTTCGACTCATATTTAGAACAAAGGAAGACGGTTGTGGTGTTTGGTGATTTATCTTCTCAGTTCCAGGACATCTCTGCAGAAGATCCTTGGGGGATTTTAGCTGCTTTGTCAATGACCTTTTCTCCATCATAAGGTCAGAAAAGGGATGTTTGCTGATCGTTGGAAATCTTCAGCATCATTCACCTCTTTTCACATGCTGAAACAATTTCTGTTCCAAGTAATGTTCTTGCTACACAGGGGCCAGGCAATGATCATCTCCAGCAAGAGAACCTGACTACTTCTTTCTGACCGTGAATGGCATGAGTGTCACCAAATCCACTAATGGCCAATGTCTTGAGGATGACCATTGACTGGAAGCTGAGCTTGATTAGCCAAATATGTAATGTGGTTGTAACAGCAGATCAGAGGCAAGGAATTCTGTGAGGAGTGACTCACCTTCTGCCTCCCTTATACCTGTCCAGTATCTACAAGACGCAAATTAGGTGTGTGATGAGATATTCTCTACTTGCTTGAATGAGGGCAGCTTCAACAACATTCAATAAATTAGAACTAAATTAGCCTGATTGTTTGGCACTCCATTGATGTCTTTTAAAGTTAATTCCATCCACCACCGATGCCAGTGCACTGCGGCAACTTACTGACACTGTCTTCCAAGCTGTTATTTCTGAAACATTTAGAAAGCCAGGGATACTCCTTCATGACACTCCTTCGTTGCTGCCAGATCAAAATCCAGGCAATTCCATCCTAACAGCACTGTAAGTGTACCTCTTGCACTATAGTGGTCCAAGACGATAGCTCACCAGCACCTTCTGAAGACCAGTTAAAGATGGATAATAAATGCTGGTATAGCTATTGATATCCAAATCCTGTGATGAATTAAAAAAAAGTAATTTGAATGTTTTGTTTGCATGAAAATTATTGTTTGCTGAAAGGAGTGGAGCTAATGTATATTTTCACAGAATCATCTAAGTTTTTCTATTTTGCAGAGCAATAAAATGCCCAGGCATGGCACGATAGAAGCAATTTTTGAACAGTGTGGTACTACATACACAAAAACTCGATTAGCAAGTGTCATCTACGCTACTTATGAGGTAAGTATGTAGTCATTAAGTCATACAACATGGAAACAGACTATTTGCCCCAACTTGCCCATGCAGACCAGGTTTCCTTAACTGAACTAGTCCCAGTTGCCTGTGTTTGGCTAAACCTTTCCTATCCACGTACCTATTCAAGTGTCTTTTAAATGTAATTGTACTTGCCTCTACCACTTCCTGTAGCAGCTCATGCCAGATACACACCACCCTCTGTGAGGTAAAATTGCACTTCAGGACCCTTTTAAATCTTTCACCTCTCACCTTAAACATATGCTGTCTAGTTTTGGAATCTCTTATTCTGGGGAAAAGACCTTGGCTATTCATCTTAAATATGGCCCTCGTGATTTTATAAACTTCAATAAAGCCACGCCTCAGCCTTCTAAGCTCCAGGTAAAAACTTCCCAACCTATCCAGCCTCTCCTTATCACTCCAACCCTCCAATCTCATTAACATCCTTGTAAATCTTTTTTGCAACCTTTGTCGTTTAATAACATCTTTCCTATTTCAGGCTGACTAAAATTTTACGCAGTACTTCAAATGTGGCCTTAACAATGTGTTGACATCCCGACTCCTGTACTCAATGCTTTGACCTATGAAGGCAAGCGTTCCAAATGCCTCCTTCACTACGTTATCACTGATGCCACTTTCAAGGAACTATGTACCTGCATTCCTAAGTCTGTTTGTTCGACAACACTCCCCAGGGTCCAACAATTAACTATGTAAGTCCTGCCCTGGTTCATCTTACCAAAATGTAACACTCACATTTATCTAAATTAAACTCCATATGCCATTCTTTGGCCCTCTGACCCAGTTGATCAAGATCTTATTGTACTCCTGATAACCTTCTTCATTGTCCGCTATACCACCAATTTTGGTGTCATTCGGAAACATACTAACCATGCCTCCTATATTCTCATTCAAATTGTTTATATAAATGACCAACAGGATCCAGCACCAATCCTTGTGGCACACTGCTAGTCTCAGTCCTCCAGTATGAACAGTAACCCTCTACCACGGGTGGCATGGTGGCTCAGTGGTTAGCACTACTGCCTCATAACACCAGGGACCTGGGTTCGATTCCACCCTCGGTCAATGGTCTGTGTGGAGTTTGCACGTTCTGCCTGTGTCTGCGTGGGTTTCTGCCAGGTGCTCTGGTTTCCTCCCACAGTCCAAAGATGTGCAAGTTAGGTGGATTGGCCATGGGAAATGCAGGTTTACAGGAATAGGCGGGCGGGGGGGCGGGTAGGTCTGCACTTCAGGGGGTTGGCATGCACTTGTTGGGCCAAATGGCCTGTTTCTACACTGTAGGATTCTAAATGAAGGACTTGTCATTCTAAGCCACCACCCTCTGTCTCCTCCCATCAAGCCTCTTTTGTAACCAATTGGCTAGCTCTCCCTGGATCCCATGTGATCTAACCTTACTAACCAGTCTACCATGTAAAAAATTGTCGAAGACCTGGTTAAAGTCCATGTATACAACGTCTACCGCTCTGCCTTCATCTATCTTCTTGAAACAATCTCAATCAAGTTTGTGATTTCCCATGCACGAAACTACACTGACTATTCCTTATCAGTCCTTGCCTTTCCAAATGCATGTAGATCGTGTCTCTCAGAATTGCCTCTGACAATTATCCCTGGATTTTCCTTGCAGCCTTTCCTAAATAATAGCTCAATATTAGCCCCCCTCCAGTCTTCCGGCACCTCACGTGTTGCTGTAGATGATACAATATCTCTGTTAAGGACCCCACAATTTCTTCCCTAACTTCCCACAACTTCCTGGGATACATTTGATCAGATCCTGGAGATTTATCTACCTTTATGCTTTTTAAGACCTCCAGCACCTCCTCTTCTGTAATGTGGACTCTGTTCAAGACATCACTATTTATTTATCCGAGTTCCCTAGCTTCCATGCTTTTCTCCACATTAAATACTGATGCGAAATGTCCATATCCTCTGGTTCCATACAGATGGCTTTGTTGTTCTTTAAGCGGTCCCATTCTCTCCCTAGTTACTCTTTTGCACTTACTATACATGTAGAATCTCTTTGCATTCTCCTTAACCTTATATGCCAAAGCTACCCCATGTCCCCTTTTTGTCCTCCTGATTTCCCTCTTTAGTGTACTCTTACATGCCCTATCTTCCTCAAGGGATTCACTTGATCCCAGCTGACTACACTGCTATATACGTCAAGTTCAAATTAAAAATAGACAATAGATTCTAGTTCTTTAATAATAGTGCTACTGACTGATGTAGGAAGGTACTGGCCTTCTTATGAGGAATGTTCCAGCCCTGAGCCAGTATTACTGCCTGTGAATTTTTATGTGTGGAACTACAGGAAATGGGGGAGATCCTAAATGAATATTTTCCATCAGTGTTTACTGTAGAGAAGGATATGGAAGATAGAGAACATGGGGAAATAAATAGCGACATCTTGAAAAATGTCCATATTACAGAGGAGGAGGTGCTGGATGTCTTAAAACACATTAAAGCAGACAACTCTCCAGGACCTGATCAGGTGTACCCTAGAACTCTGTGGGAAACTGGGAAAGTACCTTTTGATGGACTTCAGTATGGTGTTTGACAAGGTTCCTCATGGTAGACTGGTTAGCAAAGTTAGATCACATGGAATACAGGGAAAACTATCCATTTGGATACAGAACTGGCGAAAAGGTAGAAGATAGAGGGTGGTGGTGAAGAGTTGTTTTTCTGACTGGAGACCTATGACCAGCAGTGGGCCGCAAGGATCGGTGCTGGGTCCATTGTTTTTCGTCATTTATATAAATGATTTGGATGTGAACATAGGAGTATGATTAATAGAGATAGTAGGAACTGCCGATGCTGAGAATCTGATATAACAAGGTGTAGAGCTGGATGAACACAGCAGGCCAAGCAGCATCA